TTGCAGGGTGCATCAGTCTTTTCTATGATTGATTTGAGGTCTGGATACCATCAATTAAAAGTGGCAGATGGAGCAACCTCAAAGACAGCTTTTAGAACAAGTTATGGGCATTATGAGTTCCTGCTAATGCCTTTTGGACTCACTAATGCGCCAGCAGTATTTATGGCTCTTATGAACAGAGTTTTTCATGAATATCTTGATAAGTTAGTGATTGTGGTCATAGACGATATTCTCATCTATTCTAAAAGAGATGAGGAGCACAAAAATCACCTTAGAATTGTATTGCAAATTCTAAGGGAGAAACAATTATATGCAAAATTCTCAAAATGTGAGTTTTGGCTGAAGGAGGTAATATTTTTGGGACATGTAATTTCTAGAAGAGGAGTGGAGGTGGATCCGAAAAAGGTGGAAGCAGTGGTGAATTAGGCTCCACCAAAAGATGTGTCACAGTAGAGAAGTTTTCTTGGCATGGTGGGTTACTATAGGCGGTTCATAGAAGGATTTTCTAAAATTGTTGCACCATTGACTAAACTGTTGAGGACGAATACCAAGTATGTTTGGGATGAATCATGTCAAAAGAGTTTTGATGAACTGAAGAAGAAATTGACCACAACACCAGTGCTTGCTTTACCTTCAAACCATGGGGAGTTTGTGGTGTATAGTGATGGTTGATGCCTCGTATCAAGGATTGGGTTGTGTGTTAATGCAAGATGGAAGAGTTATCGCATATGCCTCTAGGCAATTGCGTCCTCGTGAAGTAAATTATCCCACTCATGATTTGGAGTTGGCAGTGGTGGTATTTGCTCTCAAGATTCGGCAACATTATTTGTATGGTGAGACTTTTTAAATCCTAACTGATCACAAAAGCCTGAAGTATATTATGGATCAGAAGGATTTAAATAGTCACCAGACGAGATGGATAGAGTTGTTGAAAGATTATGATTGTACCACTGATTACCATCCAGGTAAAGCTAATGTAGTTGTTGATGCTCTGAGCAGAAAAGGCAAGAAGAATATAACTGATCTAGTTTATTTGAGGGCAATGAATGTTGATTTGGAAGTAGATGGTGTGATAGGGTTACTAGCTCGGTTGAACATCTGACCTTTGTTGCATGACAAGATTCGTGAGAAGCAGAAGGAGGACCCAGAGTTGGCAAAAATCATTCAAGACATTGAGGAAGGAAAAGAAAGCCCATTTGAATTGGTAGATGGCATGTTGAAGATTAATGGAAGAGCATGTGTTCCTAATGTTGACAACTTAAGGAAAGAGATCCTAGATGAAGCTCATTCTTCTGCTTATGCTATGCACCCAGGAGCAACTAAAATGTATAACACGATCAAACCATATTTTTGGTGGCGTGGGATGAAAAAGGAAGCAGCTGAACATGTTTTCACATGACTGGTATGTCAGAAAGTTAAGACAGAACATCAAGCTCCTTTGGGAAAGCTGCAACCACTTCCAATTCCAGAATGGAAGTGGGAAAGAATCAAAATGGATTTTGTATATGGTCTCCCATCATCAAGGGGAAAAGATGCAGTATGGGTTATTGTGGACCGACTGACTAAATTGGCTCACTTTTTACCCATTAAATGGAAACCATCACTAGAGACCTTGTCTCAACTATATATTAAGGAGATCGTCAGATTGCATGGTGTGCCAATTTCTATTGTTTCTGATCGAGACCCAAGCTTCACATCTCGGTTTTGACAAAGTTTACATGATGCTTTGGGAACTAAACTGCATTTTACTTCAGCTTATCATCCTCAAACAGATGGGCAGAGTGAATGAATTATCCTTTGGGAACGATCATGTGCAATGCAATGGGAGGAATCATGGATTGACCATTTGCCCCTAATTGAGTTTGCTTATAACAACAAATACCATAGTAGCTTGGGTGTTCCACCATATGAAGCACTTTATGGGAGAAAATGTAGAACACCATTATGTTGGGATGTAGAAGGAGCAAGGCAAATATCAAGGCCAGAGATAGTTCAGATCACAGTTGACAAGGTCAAAGAAATCGGGGAGCATTTAAGGGTGGCTCAAGATCGACAGAAAGTTTATGTTGACACGAATAGGCGTGAAGTTAATTTCGAAGTGGGTGAGAAAGTATTTCTCAATGTTTCACCCTGGAAAGGCGTAATGAGATTTGGTAAGAAAGGGAAACTTGCACCTCCAGAGCTATCCCAGAGAAGATTGCACCAGTGGCATATAAACTAGCATTGCCTCCAGAGTTATCCCAAATCCACAATGTATTTCATGTTAGTATGCTAAAGAGGTACAAAATGGATCCTTCCCATGTTATACAACCAGAAGAGATCGAGCTGGGTGCATATTTAACTTTTGATGAGGTTCCAGTTGAGATTGTTGATAACCAGATTAAGAATCTTCGTAGGAAGGAAATTCCAATGTTGAAAGTGGTGTGGAGAAATCAAGATAGTGAGAGTGCTACCTGGGAGACTGAAGCAAGTATGCGAGAGAAGTACCCTGAGTTAGTAGCAACCTACTTTGCAGGTTAACCATCTTGCTTAATAAGTTATGTTTTGAACTTGTTGATGTGCTTTTGTTGTGATAACCCGATATAGGTTTTTGAAACCTTATATTGGGAACTTGAGGTGTTATGTGTTTAGTTATGTACTTCAGATCTCCTAACCTAAGAATTAGGTAGTAACAATATATGTGATAGTGTCTGCCAGGAGGAGAACGAGCGGATGCGTAGTATCAACTCAAGGTTAGATTTCGTGGACGAAATCTGTTAAGGAGGGGAGAATTGTAACATCCCGTTCCGAAAAAACTCATATCTCGATCGCTAGAAATTCGCGATTTAAAATCGAGCGTTTAGATAATATTTCGGCGAAAATCGGATTATCAATCGATCGGGTAAGTGTACATATATATACATATATATATACCATATATGGGGAGTTCTACAGTACAATTACATCAAGCGGTCACACAAACCACTTATATAAACCCCCCGGTCCATTTTCCATCCCATTTCTTCTTCTTCGCTTTATAAACCGAGAGCTACAAAGCAAGCAGAGCAAGCACATGGAGTCGATGGAAAAATTTTACAAAGCTCAATTCTTGAGCTCTAGTGATCCAAAAATCCCGTAAGTAATGCCTAATTCATCCATACCTCATAGTTTATCGATTTAGAGCTTTAAAACGAGTTTTTGGTTCAGGAATTTCTTAAATTACCGATAAGCCAAATTAGGGTTTCGGAGTATCCGGAAGCCGGATTGAGCCCGGATTTCATATACGAGCTTCCTGCAGCGAGGCAATTAATCTTCTGGTTCTAATCCATGAATTTCGGCAATTATTTTTGTCGGGGTCCAATTCGCTAAATTTAGCTCCGGCCAGGGTTTGATGTGTTTTTATCGAGAATTTGATCCAGAGCCTAGAACTAACATTGACGGGGACACTGCAAGGGATATTAGGACGGTCTCGGATTTTGATTCCGGGTTTGTTCGTGAAATTGACGTTTTAGTACGGGAAGCTAAAACCGGTGTTTGAACGACCAGAACTAGTGAGGGATTAGCACGACATACTGGGTTTGTCGTATCACGATAATTATATTGATGCTTAGAATTGACCTAGGTGAACTAGAATGGAATGATTAGAAGTGTATGAACTTTTGTGTTGTATGATGAACCCTGAACTGTTGTATGATATTATTGACTTGCCTTAATCGATATGGACCTTGTTTATGTTGATGATTGCATACATGTTGCCAGATGTGGGTTTAATTGTGGATATGCCTTATGATAGTTTGAGAAGGTGATTGGGTATGCACGAGGGTTTATGATTGAGAAGGTGATTTGGATGCACAAGTGGGAAACTATATATCTCATGGTGATATTATGATGTTTAAGAAGGATGACTTGCACGAGGGTTTATCCCGAGGAAGTGCAATTATACGACTCCTGGTTATGTTGAGCCAATTGTGGCCAGGTCAAGAACATGTCCAAGTAATGAATTATTGATTAAGCAAGATGAGATATGGATCATGTAAAAGGATACCAAGTAAGATTACTTTGGTCTCATGGTCAATTACATAGTAATTAAGGCTCCCCATGCTATTACTCCATTATGATATGTTATGTCACACCCCTGATGTGGTGTTTGCCGTTGATTCATCATGAGATATGACCACACCCAGAGTGGTGTTGAGTCCGATATGACCACACCAGAGTGGTGTCAGGTCCGATATGACTACACCGACAGTGGTGGGTCCGATATGACCACATCCACGAGATGTTTGATCCGTATTCCCGGGAGAGTTATTAGCATGGGAGTAGCAAGGCACCTATGATTAAAACATGATAAGATGCATATGCATAAGCTAAGGTGGTTGAGTCTTTTGTCTATTGGGATGTCGGATGGCTGAGGTCTCATCCTAGTGTTTTGGCTTGATTGTTAGATGTATGATAGGGGTATGCTCTGTTATGAACTCACGATGCTATGATTATCTCACTCAGCTATGAGCTGACCCTCTTTTATTCTTTTTCTCTGCTTATGCTATGTGTAAGCAGATAATCATCAACAGTGTTAGATAAGTGTTAGGTGGGAGAGGAGCTAGAGTTGAAGGCAGGAGGAGGTATGGTCTTCAACTATTCTGTGCTTGGACGACTACTTGGGATTTTGGCCAGTGATCCACACCTTTTTGTAAAAATATTTTGAGAACGTTTTTCATGTGCATACTAGCTTATGATGTAGTGTGAGATATCCACAGGTGTGGAAAGTTGATGATATGTGTATATTTTTGTAATTGTGTAAGTTGTGACGATTATGGCTTGTATCAGTATGGTATGCAGTTGTGTAGTATGAAACTGTGACTATGGCTATGAAAGCCCATGTATATGGTTGTGAGTATATATGTTTGTCATTGAATGCATGAATTCAGATGAATTATTTTGCAGGATTAGATGCAAGAACTGTTAGCCCATTACGCGAGTAATTCATGTCGAAATTTTATTTGGGTAAATTTCGGTAATTAATGTAACACCCGAGATTATTCCCGCTGCAAATGCATGGACAATATGATTAGGTAATACGTACAAGGTAGGGTGTTACATATGATACCACTTGTCACGACTATTTTTCTATGGATCATAAAATTGAAGTATTCGACAATGCAAGAAATGAAAGCACACACACACGATTTACGTGGTTCACTAACACAATGTGTGTTAGCTAGTCCACGTGGAGGAGAGACCCTGTTTCACTATAATATGATGTAATCTGATACTTCTCTCCCTCCTGCCATCAATGCCCCTTAGGGAGGATTCACCCACTCAAAACATTCAGCTACCTCACGTCGAAGTGCTTAGTCCTGTCATGGTGGACTTGATCATTTGCCAAGCATATTACACTTAAAGTATCGCAATACACCACTGCCTAACCATGATGTAGACCCAGATCACCAACTAGCCCCTTCAACCGTATTCCCTCCTTAGCAGCATCTGTCAACGCCATGTACTCTGCTTCAGTAGTAGACAATGTCATTCTCGACTGCAAAGTTGCCTTCTCGCTCACAACAGAATTCCCGAGAGTGAATACATAACCGGTCATCGATCTTCTTGTGTCATCATCTCCAGCATAGTACAAATCTGAAGAACCAGCCTCTAAGCACTCTGTATCACTTCCGAAGCTAATCCCCACATCAGATGTACCCTGAAGGTATCGAAAGATCCTTTTCATAGCCTACTAATGTTGCTTCCCTAATTGTATTATGAACCTGCTTACAACACTAATAGCATGTGCAAGATCAGGTCTAATGCAGACCATAGCGTACATCAAACTACCAAGTGCACTAGCATATGAGACATCCGTAGATTCCAATCATAGCGGCTGATAGCCCGATTTAAGTCACATCAACACCTACAGACCCAACTGTCAATCCCAAAGCAGTTTCAATGAACTCATAAACACCACCTACTTATTTGCCCAATGAAAAATCATTGTCATTAGAAAAATTGCGCACAAATTCTAACCCTACTCAATTCAAATGATTCATTATATGAAACAATGGCAGGGGAAAGGATATTTAGCATACCTTGAGTAGCAGCAACTATGGGATGAGAAAACATAACTAACATGTAAACGCCATGATATCGATTCATTAGCACATTCTCGTCGGCTAGTAATGGAGCACTAGAAGAGGTCGGATTTTGATTCTTATTTGACATGCCATGATGATCTTTGACGGGGAAACGATGATAGCTTGTTATGATTACTATCGATAAAGTTTATACTTGACGACAAGAATTTCTAAGCAATATAGCCAAAAAAGACAAACATGGTCAGATAGGGGAAGCAAGGAACATGGACTGATGATAAGAAGAGAAAAAAAGTGACAGTTGGTTTCACTAGGCAAAGGCAACATATGAAAATCATGAGATATTCAATAGTCGAATCCACGATTAGAATGTGTCGATTACCATTCCATATGTAAAACGCAGCAAAATGCAGCAATCTGACACCTCCGAGGAAACAATATCAACTCATAGATGCACTCACGAGCAGGGCTTACGCACATGCCCCGAGACCCTAACATGCAATGCAATAAATGATGTCGTATGCATAGTACCCCGACAAGACATCTCCTATGTCATCATGACGATAACACTAAGATTACATTAAATGTTGTCATGCACGTTGTGCTCGGATGGAATGTCTCCAACACGTACGACTGATATGACAGATAATGCTCCACCAGCTATTGACTGAGCTATAAATACTCACCATCAGCAACGTTAATTAGCAACTCAATCACTCGCAATTATATAAAAACTTATATTACTTCATTCACTCTCTAACTTGATCATCGGAGAGTGTCCCAGGTCCTGCCTATAGATTTGTTTTGCATGAAGCTCAAAGATGTATCCCGCGTGACGATAGGAAGCTACAGCCTCACATCTTGGCTAGAACTTCCTAGACTAAAGCACATATACATATATGGGAATATAGAAAACATTTGTAATTTCAAATCTGGCTGATTTTCTTGAGGCTCTATAAGTATACCTTTTTGCTACTACATAAAGTATTGGTATAAAGTACTGAAATATAATTGCATGGAAAAGGAATGAGGATTGGCTTTATAACAAATCAACTAATTCAGCATTACCAAATGCAGTTCAGTAAACTGAGAGAGTTATTCAGGCAAAACAGACTATTTCATCAACATATATCAGTTAATAACAACTACCGCATTTTATTTTTAATCAATTGTAATCTTCTCACTATTATTATTGGCATTAAAAAAATGCAGCGAAATGATCAGCACTACTAGAGACCATTCCACGACAGTAGTACACAATGTTGTCAGAACCGAACCGGAGCATGACCCGGTAATGCGAATGGCTCGCACTTTAGCGGTCCAACCAGAATTAGACCGTTTAAAAACCGTTAGAGAACCGGTATCTAATAAACGTTATCAGTATAAATAGTGGACATTTCTTAATCGGAGCTCATCTCTTTCCTTCGAAATTGTGAAATGGAAATAAAGATTAAATTTGAGAGCCCGACGTTTTTGGTTTATTTCAATTTTCAATTTTCTACAATTTTTTTAATTAAATTTAGTGGCTGAATGGCAAAAACCGGACGAGCGGCTCGATCGGCTCGAACGGTTAACCGCCTCGGCTGCTCGCCAACCGCTACATAAAACCGGAGCGGCTTTTAGACTGTTCCGAGCCGGTTTTATGACCGGGTGGCGGTTTTACCGGTCGGGTCGAGCGGTTCGGCTTTAATAACACTGGTAGTACAAGTGGTGGGGGTGAGTTGGCAGTTAACAATCCTTTCAGACGTACTATAATTAACCAAACACATTATCGTTTTGCCAAAGGAGATGATAAAGGTTTTCGTTTAATTGTATTTGTCGTTATCTCTTTATTCCTCCCTCCTTCACCCTCCCTCCCATCTGTTGTCGTTTTATCTAAAAAGTGATGCTACGAGAAAGAGAATTGTGAAACGTTAATCACACACACAGTATTTGGAGATCAGAGAACCACGAATGGACTGACGGGATGGTTTTCCGGACAGATATATATATATCTCTTTCGCTGTCATCGTGATCTCAAATGCGGCTTATTGTACCCAAAACAAAACAAAAAAAAAAAAACTTTTGATAATTATATCAAGTATCAACGATTTATCCGTGCCGGCCAGAAGATTATTTTTTTATAATCCCGGGCGGAACATATTAAAAGCTAAGCTGATGACGATAGTAAATCAGGGAGAGGCCATCAAGTTCATCAAGTAAAAAATCATTCATTTTTTGTGAGTAACTATTACCATAATTGCTCACCAATATATGGGCAGCAGATAGGGTCAGAAACCACTTGGTTACTGACATGTCAGTAATGAATAGGGACCATAGATCTAAGAGGTAGGCAATCGTGTGGTTGAGCCGGACGCTGAGTGGAGAATGGTATTTTTGTCCGTTTATACATTAAATTCTTTATTTTATTTCGTATTTAATGGCTGCACTTTTAAGGAAGGAAAGAGAAATCACTTCTCTGCAATTTTCTATCTTTCTTCTCTCTTCCTTTTTCTCTCCCAATCTCTTTTCCAGATCCTCTCTCTTTCTCTCTTCCTTTTTCTCTCTCAATCTCATTTCTATATCTAAATCTGCTCCCTTCTCTTCTTCTTTATTTTTTTATGACGAATAAAAATTGGAGCCACTCTTTTTCATTGCATTTCTTCTCTTCATCATCTCATTGGCCTCAATTTCGATCTTTCTCATTTTTTCGGCATTTTGGTGTTCTTAATTGCGGAAGAGGAAATGAGAGGCGACACAAGACAATCTTTTTTCTCTACCTCCTTCTGTTTTTTTTTTCTTTTAGATAATATATATTGATATTATAACTCTATACCATATGGTATTCGGTGGTAACGAAATATATATTGATATTACCACACTATACCATATGGTAATGTATGGTATTGTGTGGTAACGAACTATATATTGATATTACCACACTATACCATTTGGTAATGTATGGTATTGTGTGGTAACGAATTATATATTGATATTACCACACTATACCATATGATATTGTATGGTATTGTGTGATATTACCACACTATACCATATGGTATTGGTGGTAACGAAATATATATTGATATTACCACACTATACCATATGGTATTGGGTGGTAACGTAATATATATTGATGTGTTAAATTTTTTTCATACCATATGGTATGGTCAATACTAGTCAATACCATATGGTATAGACTGGTAATAACTGACAAATTTTTTTATGTCCAAAAAATATCAAAGTTGATATCATTTTGAAGAGCACAATTAATCTGATCTAACTGTGCAAAAAAAATTAAATTTCGACTTAAAACGAGTGAGAAATCGTCCGTTAAAGATTAAGGGAAGGAAAATTAAATGTTTTGCGAGGAGAGAGAAGGCGCTGATGTGATCCGGTCAAAAGTCAGCCTCAGCAATAAATAGGAGAAAGTGTCATTTTACTGTACTGCCCTTTTCACATTTAATTTAAATAAAAAAGTGTTTGACACGTGGGGACCATAGAAAGGGTTACTGATGGGTTACTGACCCGATCTGGACCCCAATATATGGTGCTCACCGGAGGAGAGGTGATGGCTTTGGCAGAAAAGTACGACATGAAGAGCGTATATCCACACCGTACTATAGCATATTTCATGGAGTCACAGTCAGATCCTACATAGGAGGACTCAAGTGAGTATGAAATATCTCTACCTTATTCAAGGTGTTTTTGTACATTGAAATAATAATGGATTTGTAATACATTAAAGGAATAAAAGGGAATATCTAACCTCTTTTTGTGTACATAGCTAAATTGTAGTACTGATTTCTTCACAATCATATTTTGGCAAACAATCATTTTTATTTTGATTATGTCAAGGTATTATATAAGTATAAAAGTTAATTTAACATGCTAAATAATAAACTAATTAAAGCCTACTGACTCTTTTGGAGGGATTGTAAAATCGTACTAAAAAAGTCAATGGTGGGGTATCTGATGATAAAATCGTGGTTCAATCGTGATTCAATTGTTTCATATAGTTAAACATCGTCTAGAGGTTTAACATCTGGTAGGAGGTTTTTTTGGTCGAATCGCCAGTACAGTACAATTTTTCAATCATTTTTTTTTTGTCTCGCTAACTACTAATAAACATGAGTTTAAACTTACCAAAGAAAAGTCAATTTCAAAACTATAAATAGTAGGGAAATAGGCCACATAGAATAAGTCATTATGTTGAAGTCTAAACAGGATAGTACATAATATGGGGAGTTCTAAGGTACCTAGAGTGAAATCCGGGGTACCGCATACCAGGAGTAAGAAAACGCTATCCAGAACTTGAATTGATTGATCTTTCAGACATGATACTATACTCTAACACTTAAAGATCAAAATCTAAGTCTTAATTCTCTAAATCTTATACCCTAAGATCAATTTAATTAGAAACAATAATCGACGGTTATGATTCGTCCAAATATAGGCAAAAAAAATCAACGCACCATCTTAGAGTTTATAGTTTATGATTTAGAAAATTAGGACCTCGGGTTCACTCATTAAGGGTTAGGGTATAGTATCATGCCCAAAAATCCTGCTAATTCGAGATCTAGATAGCGTTTTCGTACTTAAGGTATGCGGTACCCCGAATTTCACCCGGGGTACCGTAGAAGGCACCATATATGCTTTCTTTTAACATAAAGTACGATGAAGCCCCGATATCTATAAGAGCTAGCACTACTTATATGAAGGTCATCGATGAGGAATGGGATCGTGAAGTGCCCTAGATCGGGCAGCTTCTGGAGCACTATCATCTGCACATGAGGAGGCAGATCCTTTGATCTAATCGTCTTATAGGATTCCTCCATTTGGGGAAGAAGATTTTGTACGACTTGTAGTGAATTGGGCATATCATCGACGGGTTTAAGAATGGGTACCACTGCTTCTCATCCTTCCATCACCTCGAGAAAATCGCCCATAACTATCTAGAATTTGAAACCAAAGTTCTTTCAGGTGATCCAAAAAGGCATCCAGAGTGATACCTCCACTTCGATTTGGATTTAACAGCAAGTATTGAATGAGTTGAATAGATGTATCAAACAGAATCGAAATCGCACTACCAGCTCAAGTTGGAAAATTTTGAAAAGAGCAATGAGTCACTCAAACCGATTTGATGCTACCAAGCTAGATGAGAATACCTATTATGGTCAAGATTACATATAAGAACTATAGTAAGCTATTCAAGACAAGGTAAGGACACGCCATTGAAGTTCATATAGCAAGGGTGAAATCTTGAGCCAAAGAAGCACAAGGATGAACAGCATGGAAGGATGAGCCCGATCAAATTTGGACGAAATTTTTATAAGGATGGAGGAAATGTTACACCCTGCTCTTCTCAAAAGTCAAAATGACTATTATGCCTTTGGGAAAGTTTGTCAAATTCTATTGTAATATCCATCAGGACTAAAAATTCAAACTCTGGGTTCAAACAGTGTCGAGTTAGCTACGGACGTTAGTTGAGTTTGGGATTAAAGTCACCCGTAATTTACAAAATGCCCAAGATACCCCTCGAGCTAATCAAAACCCTACCCAACCCTAATCCCATCAATAATATGGTCCTATCAGCACTGAAGTGGCTGCCCCCAACAGTTCCCCCCCCCCCCCTCTGCTACGAAACTAGGCTGCCGAAGCAAGCTAGGGCCGAAGCAACCTGGACACGAGTGGGATTGGCGAGTACAGCCAACCCGGGGAATATCATCGATGGAAACCCTCCCTGCCAAATGACATGCCTGGTACTTGGCAAAACGCAAACGGAGGATGGGGATCGACAAAGAGAAAAGCATCCCTAGCGGTTACAAAGGCGGACCCAAATCATGTCCGTGCCAATCCTACTACTAGAGCTGCTTGTTTAAGCAAGCTCGTCTTATGGTCATTGTTATTTGGACTATTCCAAGCAGATGGAGGATTGGTTGATGAGCATCGACAGGGGATTTTTCTTCTTTTTGTTATTGCCATCTCCGCCCTCGTCTGGACGGACGGGCGACAAATAATGCCCCAAAGCAAGCTGGTCCATTTAATTCCATTTGCAAGCAAGCTGATCCATTTTATTCAAGCAAGTACGAGTGTAATAGGGTTGGAAGCAAGTATGGAAACTTTGGAGCAAAATCAGGGTGAGTGTAAAGGGGGTAAATTCTACGCCTTATGGTTTTTCAAATATTTGTCTTGAGTATTTTCAAGTATTGATTTACGTGATGTATGTGCAGTGTTTGATTCATGTTTGAGATTGCATGATTATGTTTGATAGTATGTGCTCTGGTTGAGCTATGATTTGAAGTGAAGATGTATGAGTTTATCTCTTACTTTGAAGTTTACGTTTATGAGTGATTATTAAAGCTTAAGAACAATCCCTTTTAAGAAATACCTCACCTTCGAAGAAGGTGAAATCGTATTAAGTGTTTTTAGTCACTAGCGCCAGTCCGTTGCTATTTGAGATTTTTAGATAGAGCAGCAGTTATGCTCTTGAGATCTTTGAGACAGAGCAGCATTTATGCTCTTGAGAATCGTGGAAGAAGAGCCTTCCACGATAAGTTTAAGTTTAAGGAAAGCCTTGATGGCTTCTCATACGTATGAGTTGGCAACCGGACTAGCTAGTGAGGGATCCCCGTGTCAGTCAAGTATTTAAGTTGAGATTTAAGCTTTAAGAATGGAGAGTAACAGTTATTCCCATACAGTTTTAAGAGTTAAGATTTTTAAGAATGGAAGTACAAACAACTTCCCTCAGTTTGAGTTCAAGTGTTCGAGAAGAAGTGCAAAATTATTAGAAAGTTTAAAACGTAAGGGCGTAGACTGACCCCAACTCACTCACCAGGCCTTAGTATGGGAATGAGCGAGAACCAGATCGGTAGCAGCTAGCTAGAGGAGCAGTTAAAGAGCAGCGAGTTTGAGAGGAAAAGTTCGAGGGCAGTCAGCTAGATGAGGGCAATGCAAGCGTCACGGAGGATGCCTAGTTAAGATTTTCAGTAGCAGCAACGACAGAGACTACCTAGTTATTTGCATTTTATGATTATGAGTATAGACTAGAGATTAGATTGTTATTTTAAAGTTTGAGCTTAATTTGCCCACGTGTTAGGGATTTGCTTTGAACTACAAGTGTGAGTTTTCAGTATTTTATTTATGAAAAATTATCTCGCTACAATTTAAGATTTGAGTATTTTATTTATCAAGGGCATTTTAGTAAAAGTAGTACCCGTCCTGATTAGGGTGTTACATTTTGAACAATTTCACATATTATGCCCAAAAATCAGCTCTTCCCACTTGCGCAGATGTAACTCTTTCTCTTATTGCACGCAACGCGACGTCCGTAAGAATGAAAATCTGGAATGGTGATTGCTAACGGACCCTTGATCGCTGCTGGGGAACCCAATTGTGCGGCCTTAACAACGTCGGCTGCGTATCCCTTCCCGGTTTTCACCAACTCCGCTACGACTGCAAAGGCAGGCGATAGTAGCTTCTTCAAGTGCAGCATCAACAGAGGAAGGGAGGACTTAGCTTGGTCGAGTGACTTCAGTCGGCAACTCACCTTTGGCAGTGGAGAGGAAGATTTGTTTGTCTGGTGTGGTAGTTACCACAGCCATGATTACGGTGCCGGTGACAGTCGATTGCGCGTTGTGGTGGGCGACATTGCCTATATCGATGGCGCTGGTGGTGTGGCATAGATGGAGATATGGTGCGTTGTGGTGGAGGCACTCAGATTCGCGACAAGCAGCTACGATCCTTTCGCAGGTAATCATGGCTATTTCCGTCAACTGAATCCTCTTGTCGCAGGCGGTGGAGATGTCTTCCAAGATCTTATTCAATCGATTAGGGATTTCCTCCAGCACTTATAGGTCCATCATTATAAAATCGCGGATCAACCGCTTTGATATCAATCGATAGATGTTTAATCTATTTCTACGTTAAACTACAGAGAAAGCTACTATAAACTAATCCATTCTTCTTCCATGACCCTAGTAATAGCCTAAAGTTAATTATGTAGTCTCCGACTGGAAACCCTAATCGACTAAACCTTATAAAATTCTAAATTACCTTAAGCCTATACCCGTGCCTTCAACAGTTCTCTATACCGAGGCACAATTTTATCAGTTGGTTTATTACAAAAGACAGGCTTACTACTAGGGATAAATTGAAGCAATGGGGGAAATTAATGATGATCACTGTTTGGTTTGTGGCACAGAGCAGGAAAACAAGTAGCATCTCTTCTTCAACTGTCCATACTCTTACACTATGCTAAAATGTTGCCTCCAAATGCTGCAATTAGCCAATCATCCGTTTGAGACGTTTGAAGAATATCTTAGGGGCGATTCAAAAATTTACAGGTAGTAAGCCAAAGGCTACTATGGGGAAATTGATTTGGAACTTGAGGTTGAGCTTACTGTGGAGGGAGAGATGTTGTCCAGTGCATGGTAGGAAGAAAGTGCAACATGGTGAGATTGTAAGATCTGTTAGAATAACAATATAAGTAGTTTGTTTGGCAGATGCTAGATTGAATGAGGTCTATAACCAAGTCTTATTGTAAAAGCTTGTTGGAGCATCTGCATAGGCTGTCAAAGAGCCCTTCCATTGTGACGTGGCAATGCCATTTTCCTCCATCATGGATGTGGGAGCTATTTCAGAAAGTGAGATCTTCCTCTTTATGAAGCAAATGAAATGGTGGGTGGCAGAAGAATATGACCCCCTTTCGATCTGTTGCTACTTTTTTTGCATTTTTATTTCCTTATTTGAATTAAAAAGAGTGTAATATTGTTTTAACTTCTATTTATCATTTGCTAAAAGAGATATGAAATCGATTTAGAGACAAGTAGTACGATAGTTAATCTAGTATCGTTTCTATGTATTTGTATTACGTGTGTTTATTTGAATTGTAATTGTGTTATGTACATGTGTTTATTTGAAATTGTGATTGTGTTATGTAATTTGTCATTCGAATATTGTACTTGTGACTTAATAACAATTTTCATGTAATTTTATTAAAGCTACCCATTTTAAATTATATAATTTATTTTTTAATCAATGAGTAAAGCTATAAAATATTTTTCAACGAATTAGTAAATTATTTGATACATCTTACATTGGTAAAATCATATAGGTTAGATAAAATGTATAGATGTATTAAAAAAATAAGCTAGACCCACCATATAAAATAGATAGTGAATTTCATGGATGTAGAAGAAATGGAAGTGATATGTCGTGAAATGGAAAAAACTGTTGATGTGGCAGTAGGAACCACATATAAAATAGAAATAATATTTCATGTACGTGGATTATCTTAGACAGGTTCACATAGTAGATAGTTAGCCATGTTTAAAGTAAAAGGCAACTTAGAGTTGCATATCTATATATGTTATATATGCGCATATACTTATTGTTAACCCACAAATTAGGGCTGGCTATATGTTCCGAGTTTTTTTATTTTATCCGAAACCGCACCGGGACTGGATCAAAAACTGGATAAAGACCGGATAAGAGAGGTTAACACCCAAAACTTAAGGGTAATTAGCATAAACGGTCACAAACCTTTGCACTTAGTACAAACCTTAACAAACTCCTTACCCTTTCAGGCCTTAGGCCACTCAAATCCCCACAAGCTCAATATAAAATCAAGACCGAATTGGGACCGGACCAGGTCAACACCAGACCGAATCAAAACCGGCTGTATCCAATCCAATCTTTGATCCTTATATTTTTGAAAAGACCGGACTGGACCTGATCAATTTGGGCCAATTTAACCGGACCGGACTGTATAGCTACCCCTACCACAAATGGGGTTTACCCAGAGCTTAATAATTTTTTTATTGCCCCCCAAAAAACTATCAGACTCTCATGCTTAACATATTATGGAGTGAATCATTGTATTATTTTTTAATTTTGATTAATTTTTTAATTTTGAAAAGGCTGGGGCTATTTTGGTCCAAAATGCTAAATCTTTTGTAATGTAAGTTCCTTAGTGAACATTAAAAATTGAAGTACTTTCGCTAATTAATTAGAATTAATCAAGGTTCAAGAAAGCGTTAGGCGTAAGGCGTGTGTTAAGGCTCTGCTTTGCGCCTAGTATGATTAGGCGTCACCTAGGCGTGTCTAAGCATTAGATGTAAATGTAGTATAATATCTCCGACGTGCTTAGAATCACGAGTTTTTAAACTAAATATCATCACATCTATCTCTCACTTCTAAACTTTCATCAACAGCATATGGTGAAACATAAAACATACTGTGGAGAAATGAGTAAGGAAGAAGAAGCTGAAAAATAGCAAAGCATATTGAGACGAAGAAGCGCAAAAAAGAAAGAAGGGGGCTAATCTAAAGATTGTCGTCTCTAACTATATCCTAGCATATCTATAGAGTATTCAAAACAGTCCTCTCTAGTAACATATCGAATGGTAGAAATAGACATCGTGACATCATTTTGTGGCACAACTCAATTGTGACGCTTTCTCCACTGCTTTTTACCAAGGTGAGGCGTTTTCCTTCTTACTTGCACCTAGGTGAGATTAGGCGAGTGTCTAGGCGCGCTTTTTAGAACCATTGAATTAATTAAAAATATAGTGATTTTTAATGGAAGTGCATGATTCTAAACATAGTTTGTGAAATTGATTACGATACCCTAGTGATGAGTGGGCCCAAATGTCTCTTACATTTTGTATACATAAATCACAATCATGACACCTACGAATATGTAAGGCAACAGAAACAATGGGAGAAATTGATAAATAAAACAACGTCAACGATCACATATCTGCTTAGATGCATGAATTTATACTCACAATTGACTCGGGTCTTTAGTTGGCCCAGCATTACAAAAAAAAAATAATAATAATAACAAAAAAAAAAACAAATACATAAAAAAAATGTTAATCACTGAGTGACGAGATGGTGAAGTGCGTGCGTTATGGTTGGACAGGCATACAATTCACATTCTATACATTCAACCTGTTTAAGAGGAATGGTATAAGATACATAATTAATATTTTCACAACAACTTATGTTATTGATACCAAAGTAGTAAAATGATTTGGTCTAGTTAACCAAACTGTAAACAACCAAACCAAAATCAATGCCTCAGTTGTTTTTGTAACCAAAATCATTAGGGATACCTATAAACCAAAATTGATATAGATCATTAACATTTTATATTTGTTTGTATTTGGATTTCGATAACTTCCAATTAATAACAAATAATCTACCTTCAATTGATATCTACAAATCTTCATATTGACTTGAATTCTTCCTTAAATACCAGATATATCGGACTCTCTCCTGCCTGAGGGCATCAACCACTCAAAACATTCAGTGACCATGGACGCATTATTAGGTCTATAGGGGAGGACAAAAGATTAATGACGGAAATATTTGTAACAAATGATATTTCGACAAGTCAGTAGTTGGTTAGCGGTCACGCTTGACTGTCGCCAACCTAACTAACCAAAGAAAGCACAATGGCTTAACTCTGATAACTACGGCCAACATTCATGGTTTTGTCTATACAAAGATAACCGGTCTAGGATGTCAGTTTTCCTTAAACCTTCCAATATTATTTACTTATCTAATTCAGTAGGCTAAACATAAAATTTAAATATAATATAAATGGGTAGAGTTTGATTTATTGATATACATTTCAAAATTAAATCCATTCCCGTATATTTTAGATTGAATATAATTTTAATCCATAAATTTGAATATTTATTCATGCTCATTTCAAAATTAAATCTTAATAGCTAAACTTAACATATTTTACAATTGGATATCTGAACTTTGAATTTGATTTTTTTTTTTTTGCATTAATTTGGCTTACCCAACATTCATGGTTTTTTCGAGGGGTGGCTATACGGTCCGGTTAAATTGGTCCGAATTGATCTGGTCTCAGTTCGGTCTTTTCGGGAATATAAGGACCAAAGATGGGATTGGATACAGTCCGGTCTTGATTCGGTCCGGTCTTGACCCGTCCGGTCCCAATTCGGTTTTGATTTTAGATTGAGCTTTTGGGGATTTGAGTGGCCTGAGGACTCAATGGGTGAGGAGTTGGTTAACTTTTGGGTGTTGGGCTCTCTTATCCGGTCTTTATCCGGTTTTTAATCCGGTCCCAAACGGTTTTTTACCTCAAATCTAAACCCAAAATTTGTATTGGATTATTTACTATTCGGTTCAAGTCTGGTCCCAGTCCGGATTATATGGTCCGGTTTCAGATAAAACCAAATAACTAAGACCAAATAGCCCTCCCTAGTTTTGTCTATATTAAGATAACCGGACATGTTTAGGAACTTGCAACTGTTAGTTAGTTAGCTAGTTAGTGAATAAGAATATGTATACTACTTTCCTTTGGACAAGATTGTAGAGGTAACCGGACATCTTTAATTAGTTAGCCTATCAATTTTAATTGGTTTATCTCTTTTGTTGAAAGTGCGTATTTAAATTTTTTATAAATCAGATAAATTGTGCTTTTCAAAAAATTTATTAACTGTGATATATTTTTGGAACAAAAACAATTGAGACATTTAATATAAGTCTATACCATGGTGGTAATGCTTGGTACTACATAAAATAATACCACCTGATACTGAAGTGTATCATGATGGTATGAACATACCAGGGTGTATAATGATATACATGATAGTAAGAATATACGAAGTGTCTTTCCACAATCATCATTCTATACCACCAGTTATCACCCCTATACTAGCGCGGTACGTTTTGATCATCTATATTTTTCCATATATATGTAGATCGAATAAATCACAATAAACTCGTTCCCTCTGTGCAAAAAATTTCATAATTTGAGTTAAAAATAAAGGTGATACCAAGGTGGTAACGAGTGTATGAAAAGTTTTTTGTCAGAATATATTTAAAAAAAAAGGATCACATTTTGTAGATCACAACGAACTCATTCCATCTGTGCAAAACAATTCGAAAATATCCAAATTAGAACAAAAAATTTAAGATCCTATTAAGAAAACTGGAAAAAATCCAAGAATACGTTAGTTAAAAAAATTATCAAAATATGTTAGTTATAAAAATAATTTCCAAAGTACGTATG